AGAGTGTCCCGCAACAGTGTCCCGCAAGAGTGTCTCACAAGAGTGTCTGTCCCACAAGAGTGTCCCGCAACAGTGTCCCACGAGAGTGTCCTACAAGAGTGTCCCACAAGAGCTTCCTACAACAGTGTCCCACAAGAGTGCCCCACAAGAGTGTCCCGCAAGAGTGTCCTACAGGAGTATCCCACAAGAGTGTCCTACAAGAGTGTCCCACAAGAGTTTCCTACTAGAGTGTCCCACAAGAGTGTCCCACAAGAGTGTCCCACAAGAGTGTCCCGTAAGAGTGTCCCACAAGTGTTTCCTACAAGAGTGACCCACAAGAGTGTCCCACAAGAGTGGCCTACAAGAGTGTCATTTGGACATATGTAGCTTTTTGAACGTGTTTGCATTCGGGTTCGTGGGCTCCATCTTGTTTACATGATTTAACTCTCCAGTTTGCTCTCTGTTTCGTTCATAGTGTTCCTTGGCTTTCAGTCTCAATTCCTCTCTGTGGTTTTCCCTATATAGTCTTTTCTCTTCAAGACATTATTTACAAAGCGCCTTTCCTTCATCAAAGTGTTCAACCATGTTTTTAAACTTTACATTTAGAGCAATTCGTTTTCATAGTGTCAGTCATTAGTTTATTATGGGGCTATGTGTTTCTGGGGCTATAGTCAATCTCTTCTTATTCCATACATTGCGTCCCTTGTTCTCACAGCCTCATCTAAAACTTGTCTAACACGTCTTTCAACGAATTCCTCGTTGAAGATGTTAGGATAGTTCAGCCTCTTTCTATTTTTCACCATCCACCGTATCAATTCCATCAGCTGAGCATAGTATTCGGCTTTCCACCTTGTAGGTTATTGTAGCAATATTTCAGTTCTCTGTATTGTCATTTAAATGACAGATACATACTCGTTATGTTGTCCTCTAAGGTCTTGAAGGTGGGAAAACCGCTTAAGGCGGTGAAATACCATAGCATCCGATATCTGATTGTCCTTCTATTCATCAGAAGGTTTCTACAGTATTCATCAGCATCGTCAATATCGTCCAAAATCTTAAGACAGGAAACTCTAGGTGGTTCGTTGAGTATTGCTTTCCTTGTTCTCTCACACCTCCGACAGGAACACCGATGAAAGCTCAAGATGTGTTCAATAATAGGTTCGGGCAGTATGAGACCATGTTTATTAACCCTGCCCTTGAAGATGTTTAAAGCATAACACTTCCTCATTTCCTCTTCCAAAAGTTCCACTATATTCTCATGTTGTATCCTTTTCATTTTCTCACTTACTATATAAGATAGTATCCCTTTAAGTAGATTTTCTAGGGATAAAGTCGCTCAACTTAAAAACTCTACTAGTATAATATATGGCAAGAAGATTAACAAAAGAACAGATAATAAGCAACGTCTATTACGACTTGGAAAAGGGCTTCGGCTCAATCCAAGACACGCTAAAACAAGCAAAGGAGCAAGACCCATCCATAACAAGAGTGGATGTCCAGTCCATTATGAAGAAACAACCTAACAAACAGATTAGAGGCTATAGGGGCTCGAACTCATACACGGCACCGTTCGCGAGGTTCGAATACCAAATCGACATAATGCATATGAAACCCTTAACGAAAGAACCGGAGGTAAAAATACCAATGAAGAACAGCGAACCCCCGTATGCGTTAGTCGTCATAGACATCTTCAGCAAGATGGGCGACGTCATACCTATGAAGAAGCGAGATGGACAAACGGTCTTACCGGCACTGAAGGAAAGTTTCAAGACATGGGCTTTCCGATGAGCATCTATTCAGACGACGACGGAGCGTTCCAGACAAGGACGCACGCCAACGTCGTGCAGCGCCAACGTCGAGGAAGCTGAAGAATATGATACACGACCGCGTCCGGTTCAACAAAGCTGGATGGACGAGTATGCTTCCACCCGTTCTTAAGAAATACAACAGCACCAAGCACTCATCCACCAAACTCACGCCCAACGAAGCGCACGACGATAAGAACCATATGGACGTCAGGGTAAATCTGACGAGAAGAGAGAAGAACAAGAGGAAGTATGAGGAGATAAAGGAAAACGGCACCGTCAAAACCTACACGAAGGGAAGAGGAAACTACACCGACAGGAAGGAATACAACAGCAAATGGTCTAAAGAAAACTACAAGGTTCAGAAGATTGAGATAGACACCACCGGCAACAGAACCTTCAGGCTTCAGGGTTTGAACAAAACATACCTCCGACACGAGATACTGAAAGTTTAGATGTTTGATATTATCTCATAAATCATTTCTTCCGGTATTCTGTATAGTTCATCCTGTGTTTTCTTCCTTTGTTCCTCCCATCTACCTTTACACGGAAGTCTCTGCGCGGTCTCTTCGTGTCTGTTCCCTACCATACTATCACAGTCCTTTTTACACAAGGGTCTCGGCTTCCAACTCTTTAGGTTAGTCCATATCATCATCGGCTTTCTGTATTCAAAACCATACTTACAATAATCCACATCATAGTAATCAAAATCTCATAAAGTCCTGTTCTTTCAAAAGTCCTGTCTGTGGATTTTCTATGAAACATATTCTCGGTTGAAAGTAGTTAATGATTTTCATACTTTTCCTCTGACAATGCTGTTAGCATACTCTATCTGTCTAACTCCCGTGGTTTTTGCTCTGCTATATTCAGTGCAAGGCGCCGAAGCCCAGATGACATCAAAGTCCTTATCAGACTTCGTATAGTCCCATTGGAGTATGTCTTCATTAATGTGTGCGTTCTTCAAGTCCAAGGACACAACACGAAAGCCCAAGAAAAACGAGCCACTCTACCAACCGAGCCCGTCCCGCCAAATAGTTCCAATCGTTTCATATTGAAACTCTATAGATTTTATTATGAAAGTATATCACGCCAAAAGATACTGTCCGCTCTCCTCGTCCCTGTCTATTTTGTAGTAGTTCAGGGTCGTTTCCTTCGGTTGTTTTATCTTACCATTGTTAATCCATTCCGGATACTGTGTCC